GGTGCGGCCCCCCCCCCACCACAATCTCACCCCTGCCCTTGGCCACAAACTGGCCCATGGCTGCTGCTTGTTTTCCCAGGGCAGGCAGCGTGTGAATTCCCGCCCCCTGCCCTGCTCGCAAAGGCGCTCAGAGACTCCCGGGCCCCCTGCGGCTTTGAGCAGTGTGCAGGGCGTGGGACAGGCAGGGAGCCTGCCTGATAGATCTGCTGGGCTGCTGACACCCCAGCCCTCCTGCACCTAAATCCTCTGCACCCCTGCTCCTGCACCCAGGCCCCTCCCAGACCCTGCACCCCATCTCCTGCATCCAGCCCAGCCAGTCCACTGGGTAACCGGAAAGCATTGCCCAATAAAGGTGATGCTTCCTGGTTGACCATTGACATGCCTACTCCTGCCTCAGGTTACAATCCAGCTCCCTGCCAGACCCTGCACCCCAATCCCGTGCCCCAGGTCACAATCCCCTCCTGCACCCAACCCCCCAGACCCCACCTCCCCTCCTTTAATATCATGGAAGCGTGCAGCCCTCGACCACGTTCCAAATTCTTGGAGTGGCCCCCCATCAAAAATGATTGCCCACCCCTGTACTACAGTACTTGTATGAGGGGAACTGAAAAATACTATTTCTTTTATCAGTTTATAGTGCAAATAGTTGTAATAAAATATACGTAGTGAGCACTGTACGCTCTGTACACTGTGTTGTAATAGAAATCAATATATTTGAAAATGTAGGGGGGAAAAATCCAAAAATTCACTAGATAATAGAGGTTGTTCGTCTGTGTGTCCGCCCGTCCATCTGTGAGTCTGTTTGTTCAAGAATGCCTCTTAAATGGTAGGAGCTAGGACCACCAATTCAGTCTGCAAGCTACTTCTTATCATAACTTAAAGTGAGGTCCGGGTTTGGCTGTGCTAGGACAATGGGATGGGCCTGGAATGTGACTGTTTCTCATCAAACAGAAAGGGAGGCTGTGGTAGCAGGGACAGTTATACTCCAGAATCACCACGGGGGGCAGCAAGTGCCTGATACCAGCAAACGGTTGTTAGCAGGCACACAGCCTCCACCACGCGGGAGAGCAGCTGGCAGCCAGGCTGCATGGCCCCTGCTGCCCTAACTCCCTCCCTTGAACTCCCCCCATACTTTCCAATTCCCTGCCCTGACTCCTGCACCCCCTGCCCTGAGCCCCTCAACCCTGACTCCTGCACTGCCCACACCCCTGCACTGAAGGACCCAAGCAATACAGGGCAAATCTTCTAATAACATACATTTCAATTGGTATTCTATAGTTTAACCGTGTGATTAATTGTGATTGATTCAGTGACAGTCCTGATTATAATGAGTAATCTCTTTCCCAGGTAAAAGCTTAGTTAATTGGAATTAAGGCTGAAAGTACATACAAGCTACTTAAAGGTATAAACATTAGATATCTTGCATTCATCTCAAAAACTAGCATTTCAAACGCAGGGAAATCATGAATAAAATTAAACTTAAAAGTAATCCAGGTGTGTTAAGGTAAGAAATGCACAGCTACGTCACTCAAACAACCCTAACTCTGCCCTGCTCTGATGCCACTAGTAGCATCAGATTCCAAGACCAGAAGGGGCCACCGTGATCACGTCTTCCTGCATAGCATAGGTTATAACGTTTCCCCACCAACATTCTGGCTCGAACTAGAACAGATCTCTTAGAAAAATGTCCAAGCTTGATCTAAAAATTGCCTGTGATAGCGAATCAGCCCAGCCCTCAATTTCATTCCTAAATGTGATTTAACTGACACATTCGACTTAATGATTTGAATAGTACCCCCTGCAATGTGAAAGCAGAATAATGTTCCAAATGTATGAACTGTGAGGGTGTCAGGCATGTCACACGAATAGGAGATCTTCATTTAGGCCCTGTGTGAGAGCAAGCGGGATGATAGTAAGTCCAGTAGCATTACGGGTGGAAACGAAAGCCTCGTGGAGCATTTATCCACAGAGCAGGAGGAGGTGTGAGCCATGGATCACTGGAAGTCTTACCCTTACCTGCTTATTTTCATGCATTTGAGGATTTGACCGGATGGAGTGTGTCCCGTGTGAGGTTCCCTGGCACCAATGTATTTAGTAAAAAAACTCCTTTCGCCTTCTGCGCATGCATTAGAACCACCAAGTTTAAAAACCACCAGTGTTACTAACTCACCATTCAGCCACGCCCCTTATTTGGAATGGGAAGTACAGCTGGTCCCGAGTTGCGAACGGTCGACTTACAACCGAAGCAGTCGTAAATGGCGGACCCCAAGTTACGAACGCAATCCGCGCTTACGAACAGCACGGTTGCACGTAACTCTATGGGGTCCGACTTATGAACAAACCGAATTACGACCAATTGCTTGGTCCGTAACCGGTTCGTAAATCGGAGAGAGGCTGTACGCAGTCAGGCAACAGGGACCAAAACGTTTTTGAAAAAGCAAATACAGGATACTATGTTAAACTACTTAAAGGGATTTTAAAAAAACACCTGAGAAGGTAAGGAAAGTCTGCGCCTGTTGCATTTAAATTCAGATGATTAAAAGCAGCATTTTTCCTCTGTGTGGTACAGTTTCACAGCCGTGTTCAGTTACGGTTCAGTTGTAAGCTTTTGAAAGAACTACCAGAAATGCTTGAGATTTACACACATTCCATTCCGGAGCCGTTTGTAACTCTGAGGTTCTGCTCTACCCAGCACCGCACATGGCAGCCTCCCATTACCTCTTTATCTCTGGACTCGGCTTTCTTGTGTAACTGTTTGCCGTTGCCTTCCAGGTATTCATTACGTAGGGCGGCTAGAAGAGAGGTTCCTGGCACGTTTCCTCGTGGATCAGCTCACAGAAGGCCAGCTGCAGTGGACTAAGATGCCGCCTGTCTTTGACGCCGTCGTGCTGGGGGAGCCTGGAAATGGCAAAACCTATCGGCTGTACAGCGGGAAGAAGGAGTACGTCGAGGAGCTAAAGAAACAGTTTCCGGATGAGGCCGTGGCTATTGAGAAATTTGTGGCACTTGTAAAGGTAACACCGGCTTTCTCTGGGATGCCAGTTCCTCCTTTCCGAGTCTCAGTGGGCATCCGGCTAGCACAGCTCTCTGCAAACAGAGGGACACGGGAGCAACCCACTTGGCCCGCCGGGATGCTCTGGTTTAGCCATGACAGGACTAAATGTCTGAAGCCGTGAGATTTTTAATCAGCTGAAGAGCAAAGTGAAATGCACCCTCCCCCGCGCCTGAAGCCCAGCTATTGAGGCTCTGTGAGGATGGAGCCCCGGGCTAGCGGGGAGGTGAAATCCACCCCAGCTCCACTCTGCAATGCAGGGCAGCCCTGTCCATCGCTGGAAAGCAAGTGCCACCCCGTCTGGCAGCTGTGCAGGGACCTGGGACCACTCCCAAGCAGATCGGTGGCTCTCCATGCCACTGCCCACCTGCGTACGGGCCAGCATGGAGGCCACCTCCTTTGCACAGGCGCCCTGCCTCCTTGTCGAGCTCGCCGAGTGCACCTACTTACCGTGCTCGTCCAGCCAGGGACGCGTGTTCACCATGCTGCGGTGGGGGTCCGATCCACCCTGCACGTGGCTGAATCTTTGGGGGGTAGGACAGTGACTGTCCTCAGGGCGGTATGGCATGTTCTGTGAGAGGGAAAGGCCCCAGCCCACAGGGTATCAGAGATCCGGGGAGTGCGCTTCATGTCAGAGCTACAGGGCAGCCAGGATTCTTGAGCCAAAGTGGGAGATTGTCGGCCAGCCTGTGCTCAGAATGGCCAGGCCCCTGGCCCAGGCAGGGCTGACTCTGTGTTCTCAGAAGGGGCGGGGTTTCAGGCTGAAGGGCGGGGCCTCAGGCTGAAGGGGCGGAGCTGGGACAGCCTGGCCTGTGTCCCACAGCAGTGTCATCCAGAACACGCCCCCCTGAGCTCTGGCGGCAATTTAAAGGACCCAGGCTCAAGCTGCCACTGCTTACACAAATAGCAGTAGCTGGGGGCCCTTGGCCCCTTTGAATTTCGGGCCCCAGGGCACTTGTTGCCCCCCCCCCGGCCGCCTCCGCAGGCCTGCTGGAGGCATTTCAACCTACATTTTAATCATAGACCAGGCCTGAGAGTGAGATTTTTAAACAGAGAGTAAGTGACTTAGGAGCCCAAGTCCTCTGATTTTCAATGTGCTGACTTGTGCACCTAAGTCAGTTAAGCCCATCAGAAAATTTTACCTCTCCCGCCCCTCCTCCCAGCCCCCCACTGTCAGCAGGCCTGACTGAGCAGCAGACACAGCCTCTTAGTATTTTATCAAGCGATTGGCAACGGGCAGCGTGCGGGCATCGCCAGGAGCTGCCGGGTAACCAATGTCTCTGGCCCCCGGCAAAATGACGCTGAGCTCGTGCTCCAGCCGAGTCCCCAAAGCCATCTGCATGTGTCTTCACGGCCCTTGGTTTTTTCCCCCCCCTTTCAGAAAGTTGCCCAAGGAACTACCCACATGGTTATCCTGAAAATGCTGCCTATGCCGCTGGCCATGTTCCTGAGCCGCACCGGCCTGCTGGCCTGGTTCTCTCCGTTCTTTAAGATGGCATCCCGCAGCCTGACCGACGTGGTCAGTGAACTCACCACAAACGAAGAGCTCCGAGCGGTACTTAGCTACATATTTCCCACTTATGGTACGGGCCTCATCTTAGCAAACAGACCGGCTTCTCCGAAAATACCTGCAAGGACTGCCCCTAGAAAGCTGGGTCTTGTCTGCGACAGGGGACCCGGCCTGGCCATGGAGTGTGGGGCAGGGCCCGGTGCTGACCTTCACTTTCTGCATCGCTGAGTTTGCCTTGCGGTGTCTGTCAAGGGCGATTTTCTGCACAGCTTGTTCTGAACTCCTGGTGCTGCTAACCCCAGAGATGGCTGCATTTAGGCGAATGGTGCCATTAGATTGTATGGGGAGCTAGTAGTAAGCCTTGTACAGGTTGCACCTTGATAAACTGGGACTCTCTGGTCTGGCAACATCCATGATCTGGCATGGATGTTCCAGGATCAGAGCGTTCCGGTGTGCTGCAGGGGGGTGGGAACCCAGCACGTGGCCCAGCTGGGCTATGGATGCGGGGGAGCCCGGCACACGGCCCAGCTGGGCTACGGATGGGGAGTGCAGAGAGCCTGGCGTACAGCTCAGGCTGCAGGAGGGGGGGCGCCAGGACTTCCCTCCCCCTCCTGGTTCTCTTCCCAGCTCTTGGCCCCACCCAGGAAGTCCAGTGGGCAGCACAGGGAGCCGGGAAGCCCAGTGGGGTGGCAGACCCAGAACCCTGGCATGGCAAAATCCCTCAGCCAGGACCAGTTAGGTCCCACGGGTGGTGGTGGACAGGGAGGTCCAGCCTGTATTTAGGTTGCCTCACCCTTGCTAGTATACTCCTGTTGAGAAGCTCTGACGTCTCCATCGCCTGTAGCAGGCCTGTGAAATTCATCAGGGAAAGCCCTCATGTCGGAGCAGTGCCTTTCCCTTGTCTGGTGACGTTCCAGCCAGGTTAAATTACTGACTACCTCCGTTTCTCTGCTTTCGCTTGTGTTCCCAAGGTAAACTGAGGCAGCCGGCCCAAATAATCGCATGGGAACATCCTAAAGGGTTGGGTCTCGGTCCTCCCCCACGCTGCACCGGGAAAAGCTGGAAGCTAGGAGCAGGGATGTAAATAGCCATTCAAATAGTTAACCGGTTAAGCGATGAAAATTCTACCTTGTCACTGTTAGCGGGACGGGGGGTTGAGTTGGTGCCATCAGCAAAGTAGCGTGCTGGCCTCCCTTATCTTAACCCAGAGCGGGAACTGAGCTGGTATTAGTCTTTGCGGCATTGCTCCTTGCGCGCTCTGGCTCTCAGAGGCTCCAGTGACGGGCTTTGGCTTCGTAGCGCACTGGCAGGCCCGGCTGACGGAGCCCTGCACGGGAACAGCCCCTCTTTGCTCTGCCTTCTAGGAGTGGTTCCAGCCAGCGCCAGCTTCGCCCTCCACGCCATTCTGGTGCATCACTACATGGAGGGGGGGTGGTACCCCCGAGGAGGCCCCAGCGAAATCGCCTTCCACACCATCCCGGTGATCGAGCAGGCGGGCGGGGCCGTTCTAACCAAGGCTCCGGTGCAGAGCATTTTGGTGACGGCAGACGGCAAAGCCTGTGGTGAGTTAGGCGGCGTTAAGTCTCCCGACCAAGGAACCAGACACTGTGCTCCCTGCGGAGAGGAGGTGTGGGGGGGTGCACTTAAATCCTAGCACTTACACATGCTGCGGGCTCCGAAGTATAAAGCTTTATACTGCAGAGCCCACAGTGCAGCCGGCTCCGCGGGAGCGGGTCCAGGAGCCACCGCGCACTAGGAGCTGGCTTATAGTATAAGCCAGCTGCCAGCCCTGCTCCCAGGAAGGTGTCTGCCCTGCACCACTGGGTTTGTATCAGAGCCCACAGTGCAGAGCAGCAGCCGGCTCCCCAAGAGCAGGGCCGGGGGCTGATATACACCTAGAGCCGGCTTATACACCAGCTCCTGGCACGCACCGGCTCCCAGCTGCCTGCCCGCTCCCGGGGAGCCAGCTGCACTGTAGACTCAGCCGTATAAGCTTTATACCACAGAGCCTGCAGCGAGGGTGACAGCCAGCTCCCCAGAGCAGGGCTGGGAGGCGACGCATAACCATAACCAAGACCGATCAGCTGATGCTTATTGATTAATCGTCCGAAGGGTCAGACTCTTCTATTCCCAGTGTCCACACGTGCAGAGAGCACCCCACGCAGGAGGCGATCGGTGCTAGCAGGGCTGAGCAGCTGTTGGAGACGGGCCAGCGTGTTGCAGAAAGACTGGGGCTTTGCTCTGCTTTCCGTGCAGTCCCCACGGGGCCCCCTCCTGCCCTGGCACTGCCTCGGCCTATATCCAAGGGGCTGAGGCCCCCGCTGCGGGTAAGCCTGCCTAGGCCCAGCACCAAGCGCTGACCTAGCCACGTGCTGACATGGCCATCGCTTGCGGGCCTTGCCAGTATGTTACAAGTACAAATCTCTCTCCTCTTCCAGCCTGCAGGGGAAGGGGCCCGGCTGGCTTGTAGGGCGAGTGCGCCCAGTTTGTGGAGGGGAAGCCAAGTGGGCGCTGGTGAGCGAGGCAAGAGCTGGCCTGGCAAAGGGTGCAAGGAAGGGGAGAGAGAAGTCCCCGGCGGGCACACCCCACCCCCCGATTCCCAGTGACAAGTGCCCCTCCTGGCTGTCCTGTCCTAGCACCCCTGTTGCCTCTTGCTGCCCAGCATCCACACAGCCCAGGTCCCCTTGGCAGCAGCGAGGAAGCCAGGGGCAGCCCTGTTTTCCGAGATGCAAAGTCCTTCCATTCGCCTCGGAGCCTCGGCGGCCTAATGGTTTTCTATCACCTCCCCCACGGCGGTGTCTGGGCATCTGTTGAATGGGTGTAACGCGTCCCAAGCCACGGAAACACCAGGCCATCAAACCCGGTAAACGCTCCGCTTGGTTATTCAGGATTTGCTACTTCCAAATGCTCCTGTGGAGACCCCACGCCAGACCCAGCCTGCACCCGAATCGCTCACAGGCCGTGGGGCCGCCCCTCCGACCTGCCCAGGAGAGCACAGGGCTCCGGGCCCAGGACAGGGCAGAAAGTGGCCTACGGATGGATTATTACAATTTTTTTCCCCTCCCCTTTTCTTTCCAGGTGTGAGCGTCAAGAAAGGCCAAGAGCTCGTGAATATCTTTGCTCCGGTTGTGATCTCTGATGCTGGCATATTCAACACGTATGAGCGGCTGCTACCGGCAGAGATCCGAGCGTCACTTGGTAAAACACCCCACGTTTTACTGCCACGCCACCGCGCCTAGCGACGGGCAGCGCCTGAGAACCACCGTGCCCAAACCCCTTCCCCTCCCGGCGCCGCATCCCGCCCTCTCTGCACCGTAGCTCTCACGCGTCTGTCCCAAACCATCGTGTGGGGGGAACGTTGGCCATTTGGTATTATTGCCATTTGCCCTCATTTGCATTGATTTTTTTTAATCACATTTTATCAAAACCAATTGTAGAATTAGCCCAAAACTGGCATTAACCCCCCTAAAGAGGAGGCTGTTAGTACGTGGAAAAACTTTGAAAATGACATCAACAAAGTGCGATAAAAACATTGATTTTTTTTAAAGCAAGACCCACGACTTTGCCAACTTTGGGGGGTTGGTCCTGCAACCAGCCTGGGGCTCCACAGCCACCTCCAGCTGTAGCCAACTTTGCCAACTCTCCCAGACCGGGTACAACTGTGCAGTGGCACCGGCACATTTTTAAAAGTGGAGGTGCTGAACTCCCTTGCTCCTGTCCACCTCGACGCCCTGCTGAGGCCTGGAGCAAAGCGCCAGTGTGCTGGGCCAGCACCCCTGGGCGTGGGGCCAGCAGCAGAACCCCCAGCACATGGAGCTGGGATCCTGGGTGCAAAGCTGGGAGCCTGGAGGTGCTGCAGCACCCTCTGCCCCATAGGTCCCATACCTATGCCTTCTTGCGCAATGGGGTCTGATCCAGGAGAGTTGGCAACCCTAGGTGTGACCCCAGCCTGGGGTGGGGAGTGAACGAGTTGGGGGGGGAGGGTCAGCAACTCAGCATCCCCACCCTAAAAATAGCCCAGCACCACCGCTAACGGGGGCCACGTATTAAGTGACTCCAAATGTCCAGTGAGGGTTGCGTGTTACCGCCCTGTCGCTCAGTAGAGCCTTGAACGGTGGCAGAAGCCTGCAGCGCAAACTGGGGAACCGTCAAGCCGACCCCATTTGGAAAATGCCAGCGAGGGAGGCGGCGCGGAGGGTTAACCCGGCTTGGGAATGGCGGCTGGGCTCAGCCTTCGAGGGCGCCGCCGGCACGTCTCCGCAGTCCAGCCCAGGGTCGCTCTGGGGCGGGGGACGCTCACCCTCCGTTTGCCCCCCACCCGCAGGGACCCAGACTCCGCTGCGCCTGGTGGAGCACGGCCTGGCGGGGTTCAGCGTCTTCGTGGGACTCAGAGGCTCCAAGGAAGAGCTGGGCCTGGAAGGCACCAACTACTACGTCTACCCGCATCAGGACCTGGACGCAGCGTAAGGGACAGGGGCTCCAGAATGGGGCTCTAGATTGGGCTGGCAGGCCTGGCTCCTGCCACAGCATTGGAGCGCTCTTCGCTACGCTGACGTCTGCCCAGGCCACCGGCCGGTCGGCACCGCGCGGCGCATTCCGTGCCCTGCTCGGCCATAGGCTGCCCGGGTGATTTACCGCTGCAGTTCCTAAGCGGCACGCCGGAGACAGGCTGGCCTGGTGTGGTCCGTGCAGGCCCCTTTCAGGACAGAGGCCGCCTGTGCGCACACCGGGCCGAGCAGGGCCTGGAG